CAAAAGAATCAAGAATCCCAACCAGAAAGAGAAAACAAAAATGTAAATATAAACAAAGATTAGCTAAATGTACACAAGATCTGAAATGGTAATAATGGAGCTTATAAACGATTTGCTAATTCTGAATCTGAAATAACAAAAAAAGAAGCGGACTCCGAATGCGATAAAAGATTAAGTGGATCCGAATATGCAGCGACCTTAACTCCGAGTCTCAATAAATATATGCATTTATACCATAATTGGAAATCTGAAACCAGAGTTCAATACAACAGATTATCTATGTACGAATCGGGAATAATTTTATCCAAAACTAAAGAATAAATTGATCCCAGGCGAAGCAGGAGGATACCTAAGTATGAGGTAAATATAAATTACAAATATACATATGTAATATATACGAAACTAATAAAAGAATAAAATAATCCTATTGTAAAGCGAGAATTTAAATCGACAGGAGAATAACTAAGAACGAATCCGGAATATTAATCCGAATCGAAAATAATGTTCTCCGATAGTACAATAATACGTGAATAGCTAAACCCGACTCTAAAAGGAATCATCAGCTCTATTTTAATTTCCAACGGCATTCGGATTTCGGATTCATTTCTATACGACTCTGTAGCATCAAGTCAAAGTCAGAGAGATAGTTAACCAAAATCTCAACTCCTCCACTCCAATGCGTATGCCACATAGTCTTTTATTGCCCTCGAGTTAAGCTGCTCAGCTGAATTATGCGCCAAGAGAAACTTTTTTTTTTTTTTTTGTGTTTGTTTCTTTAAATAAGTTGATATCAATGCAAATGAAAGAGGTTCTCTGTCTCTGCGCCCTTTTTCTGCTTCTTAGTCATTTTTGATGATACCTTAGCGTCTGCTGGCAGCAAATATAATGCAAAACGGAATATTTTTCTCATTTGTAATTCCTTTGTGCGACATAATTGTTGATGCGAATATATTTCGCATAAAGGCAATTTGGAGAGTTTGCTCAGTGCTCACTATTTACTCGTTGTCCTTGCGGCTGCTATTGCACACACACACACGCACTCATACATATACCCTTAATGAATAAAAATGACCGCAACGCAACGTCCATTGCTTGTTTGCACTTTGTGCCGCAAGAAGACAACAAACTCGGTTTGGTTTTCTTTTTTTTTTTTTTTTTTTTTTGCATTTAGCCACATAATTTATTTAGTTAGTTTTTCTCTCTGTTTATTTATTTTTTTTTTTTTTGTTCTTTTTATTTTACTGTTTTCGCTTCTTTTTTTGTACACTGCGGCTTTTGCGCTCTTGAAGCCCTTAAAGATGGGATCCTTTTTGTCTAGGACACGCAACGAAAGTTAATTGCTTAATAGTCGAGACATCGATAAATCAAAATAATATGCGCGCAAGCATAAAGCCGAGCGTCGACAACCGCCAAGCGGACAAAGAATGCCAAAAGGGAAATTGGCAAAAGGAAAGTGGCAAAGGGAGGCGGGGGAGGGGAGCACAACAGTAGCTCTGCTCTGTGGCTGTGGGCCGAATGCAAACAGACTGATTGATGGCGGCAAGTGATTTATTTATGTTAATGCCAACAGCAACAACAGCAACAACAACAGCAGTGAGCCAAAATCTAAGTAGCTACCTGAGACGCAACGCCGCCCCCTCCCCTTCCTCTAGTCGGCCATGCCCATTGACTTCTGTACGCCGGCTTCACCTGCGACATGCGCTGCTGTACGTGATTTGAGGCAATTGTTGTTGTATTTGTATTGAGCACGATGACAATTAATCAACGTGGTGCGTGAGCGGAAGGCGTGACGGACGAAGGGTGTGCGAAGGGTGGCATGGCGTTACGATAACACCCAAAAGAGCGACGAGCGTCGCCATATAAAGTACAGTAAAGTGACCAAAAAATGGCAAACCCCAGCCCACAGCTAAAAAGCTAAATCCAAGTCCAAACACAAGCCCCAACATGCCCAGCCCCAACTTCAGCCCCAATCGAAGACCAGCGCCAGTTCTCGCCTGAGCGCACTGTAAATTGATTTCATTTATTTATTTATGCTGCAACAACCGAAAAACTTGTCTAAATACTTGAAATATTCGCTGTGCACAGTAACATTTGAGCGAATTCCAACCATTTCATCAACTCGCTCACACCAGCAGCACCAACAGCAACAACAACAACAGCAATAACAGCAACGCCAAGTAAAAGGAGAAAGCAGAAGAAAAAAATATATTAAACAGCAAAATAGTGAGTTATCGATAGCAGAGATGCCCTGTAATATTGGCAGCTAGCTGAAGAGACAGATGGAAAAAGAAATAGTGACAAAATAATTATCGAATAATTTATTAATCTAATTATACATATGTATGTATGCATATACACAAAAAGCAAATGGAATTGCTTATATGTACATATATACATCAGTATGTATGTATGTATGCACATATCACAGCTTTATGGCGACCTGTTAGTTTTGTCTTGGCCTTTCGTACCCTTTCATGCGTGCAGGGTATAGAAATGAAAGAAAATGGCAGAGCAACAAACTCTGGCACAGGCGACAAGAAACGCATCAAATGAATTTTAATGCGCGCCGGGGGAACGTTCAATAATTAATCAGCCAAATGGACTGAGTGGGGGAATAAACTTACTCAACTGTTACGGTTGTTGTTTCTATTCCCTTTTTATTATTATTCTTGCTATAGTTTCTCTAAGTAACATGAATAAGAAGGTGTGCATGATAAATTTGGCATTCCAATTAGATGAGGCTTTAAATTGATTAGTTTTCCAAGCAATAACTATACAATATTTAAAGTATTCACATAATAGAATACTATTTAAACTAAAATCATTTAATGCATATGTATGTACATGTTCAGTCATGTTTATAATTATTTTCTTTGTTTCGTTGACAGCTCGTTGTCATTACCTTTTGCTTGCAAATCTAATGGATTACATTCATAATATAGTTTAATTTCTTGAAATTACATTAATCGAAAATCCAATGGGATAAATCACGTTAGCAACACATTTGTCGCCTGCGCCTCTCCATTTACTTGTTCTTTGTGCGTTGCCCAGGCGCCGCTTTGGCTGCGCAGCAATTCGTAACGTAAGCAGCAGCAGCAACAGCAGAAATCACAGTGCCAAAAGCAAACATCAATAAGAAGTGAGTTGCGAAAATACTCCGATTCACAGTTTTATGGCAATGCAATAATTCTTATGAAAAAAGTTACTGTAAGTAAAATATTAAATATTAATTTTATGCTTTCTTTATTTTTTTTATTAATATTTAATGATTATTAAACAATAAGTCACCGATATACAGACATACATATGTGTGTATGTATGTACATACATTCACACATGTACACGCCCATATCTAAGTGTCTCTTCTCATGTGAACTGTACTGTTTTTATTACTTTAATTTTTCTTTTCTTTTTGGCGTTATGTTAGTTTTTGCCCCAGAGCTTATGCCGCAATACTTTTTCGCGCGTCTGCCGCTCTGTCGCCGCCATTGCTCAGCTTTGCTTTGCTTTGCTTCGCAGCAATTTGCTTTGCTCGGTCGGCTTCTGTTGCTGCCTTTGCCTTTAACGTGACCTTTTGCGACGCGTCGCGACGTTCCAACGATGACGTCGCCGCCTCCGCCGCCGCCGTCGTTTTTACAGTTGCTTTTGCTGTCGCTGACGTCCCGCAGCAATAAAACTGATGTCACGTTTTTATGACGCCGTTGATGAGTCGTTATCTTTGATTTCGGCACGCAGCCCAGGCGGCCAGCTCCTGGCTGACATCCCAACAGGCCGTCAAATTGTTTGTGCCTCCTGGTCAAGTTAATACCACATCTGTGATTCATCCAAATCCGCTTCAGGTGCTGCCGCGTCTGCGGTCGTTACTTTGTTTCGTTTTCGTTGCTCCTCTTCTTTTTTTTTTAATTTTCGTCCAGTTCAATTTGCGATTTTTTTTTTATCGCAAGCTTATAATTTGTTGTGCTTTTTCTTTCGTTGGCGTTTCGGAAAGAGAGAAGCGCCAAGTAGAATACACGCCATTCGGCGTTTGTTGTTGTTGTAGCTGCTGCTGTTGCTGCTGTGAGGTGCACACGAGCAATGTCCGCCACCTCGTTTCGGATCAGCTTTTGTTTATTGAAGCTTACATTTGTTTTCTTTTTATTTTTTTTTATTTTGTGTGTGTACTGCTGCTGCTTATGTTTTGTTTACGACCACTGCAGACAGCTATAAAATACAACTACTCTGGCCCCACCAAATCAAGAGCATCCAGAGATTGTTGCCAAGGCAGCTTCTGTTCCCGCAGAGCCCAAAAATTCGCTTCCCTGGGCCAGCTGCCCCATAAATATGAAAAATATGCATGGAACGGAATTTATGGGAATTGTGCTGTCCAAATTCCCCAGCTTTTTATAGTTCAGTTTGAGTAATATTTTTAATACGTATTTGACAGTTATATATCTATTGATCCTGATGTGCTTAATAATTCATTATTCCATACATTTGTATGCACATCTGTGGTTGAACAAAAAAATAATTTGTATATTGTTTTACTTTAAATATGCCAAGTGAACAGTTACCCGAGATATCAGCCAACGTAATTTTAAAACGTTTAACATATTTAAGCTTAAATAATCAAACTTTAAATTACACCAAATAATCAACATATATATATGAATTTGAATTGAAATTAAGCGCCAAACAAAAAATATGCGAGTGGCGCACTTTGATTAATCGATATATCAAATAGTCGATATTTTCGACATATTACAGATCCGCTATGAGCTAAACAGCACTGTTAAGAGCTTAACAGCGGATGTGCAGCTTAACAGCTTGACAAAGTCATCAATAAAATGATTATATTTTACGAAATATACAATTTCAATAATCATTAATTTTTTCCAAGATGCGCTAGTTCTGCAAACAACTTTATTTAAGGCAACTATATGCACAACAGAAATATTTTTGTTCAATTTATCGATAATAGCAAATGTTAATCGACATTTAACAGTTGTGTACGCAGCCCTTCAGCTGTGTGCACTTGCATGTGTGGGTGAGCGTGCTCGCGTGTGTGTGTGCGTGCGTGTAAGCGCCTCCGTGCAATCTATTAAAGTGTGGAATAGCAAATATCAATTGAATATATAGAGAAGAAATCAAACGACCGTCCGACCGCTGGCGTTCGCCACAATAATAATTGTTTCCAGTGCGATTTTCCGTTACCGACACCGTCTCCGTTGCTGTCGGTGCCCTTAATGTTGTTTTCGCTGATGTTGTCGTTGTTGCTGTTGTCGTCGTCGTCGTCGTTGTTGTTGTTGTCGCTGTGTATCTGTTGACGGCAACGCGCAACGGCCAACTGATGAGTTTCAATTGTTTTCATTAAACGGCATCGACAAAAAGAAAAAAAAAAATAGCAAAAGAAATCAAAAACCTAAATAAAATTTATGCGCGCACCACACGCCCCAAACGACGCCCCGCCACTGTTAACCGATCCGCCCAAGCGCAGCAAGAGGAAGCAACACAACGCAGTAGCAACAGTGAAGGCTGCCCGCACCCACACACGCCCTAAATCCCCAAGGCAGAGGCTCGAGCTCAGGCTCCACCTTCAGCTCCGCCTCCTGATCCAGCTCTAGCTCCAGCTCCGACCTCAGCTCCCACTCAGTGCTAACAAATGGCCTCCAACAATTTTGGCAGCAATGCTGCTGCCGGAGCAGCAGTGACCTCGGTCTCTGCAGCAGCAGCCGCGGCAGCAGCAGCTGTCAATGCTGATTTGTGGCGCGAATGCGTTGCCTGGCTGGTGCGCTGCAAGGTAATACCAGCGGACCACAAGGCCGCCCTGCCCGACGCCGAGATACGTATTCTGGCCATGACGTTGCGCGATGGCGTGCTGCTCTGCAACCTGGTCATACACCTCGACCCCACCAGCATGGATGCGCGCGAGTTCAATCGCAAGCCGCAAATGGCGCAGGTGAGGCATAGCGCCATAAAATTTTATGCATGTATATGTGTATATCGCCGATGTATATAAATTTTGCAATTATTTTGATTTCAGTTTCTGTGCTGCAAGAATATCAAATTGTTTCTGGACGTGTGCCACAATCATTTCAATATACGCGAAGCGGATCTCTTCGAGCCCACGATGCTCTACGATCTGACCAACTTCCATCGTGTGCTCATAACGCTCTCGAAGCTGTCGCAGTGCCGCAAGGTGCAGCAACTGCATCCGGAGCTGCTGTAAGTGGAATGCGGATGGCAGCATCTGCAATTTTCTCAATTTGAGTGGTCCTAAATTAAACAGTTATTTCGTTCCCTTGCAGCGGCTTCAATCTGCAGCTGTCGCCCAGCGAACGCTCCCACTCGGATGAGGCCATATATAAGGATCTGCATTCCACGTAAGTGTTCAATCGATATTCTCTACGTACGCCGTGTGTTATCTCTAGTGCGTGCTCTTCCCCCCTCAAAACACCCTTCCCGCCACCTCACCTGCCCGGCAGGCTGAAGCTGCTGCAATTGCAATTGTCACTCTTTGCATTTCCTGTCTCGAGATGCTTGCTCGGATTTCATTATGCGCTCGCGCAACCCGACAATGTCCCGATGGCAACACCATAGACCCGACATCCGAGACCCGCTTAAGCCCTTGTCTGGCTGCTTATCAGCAAAAGCAAACGCAACAACAACAACAACAACATTCACAAACAAACAAACACAACAACAACAACAATAACATAAACATCAACAGTAACAAAACCAACAAATATCCATGCCCCAGCTTTATCTAACACACACACTCTCTCTCTCTCTCTCTCTCCCTTTCTCTCTCTCGCTCTGTCTCTTTACCCCCCGTTTTTTGTTTTCTTTTTCCGGCTGTCTGTTCCAACTCTTTCTCCCTCTAACGCATTGTCCCCTTGTCGCCCCCCCGAAAAAAAAATCAAAAATCTCGCCCAACTCCCATGCTTTGGCTGTACGTCCGCTCGCTCCTCTGTGTGCCTGTGTGCGTGTGCGTGTGTATGCTTATGCTTGTGTGTGTGTGTCTCTCTGAATGCTCCTCCGCACCCCACATCACGCCCTCTACCCGGCAGCAATAATGAATTGAGGACAACGGGCAGCATGGATGCCGCCGGCTCCTCATCCTCGGAGTACTACGAGCGGACCTCGCACAGCGGCTCGCTCTCGGTGGAGGATGAGAATAGCGACATTACAATTGAGAACGGCACCGAGGACATTGACGACTATATCGAGGATTCGCTGTCCAACATGTGTGACTCGAGCATCGACAACGATGCTGCCATCGGTGGCGATGCCAATCACTCCGTCCAGGGCCAGCTGCGGGCCCTCTCCTTTGATCTCAATACCAGTGCCGGCAACAGCGGCAGCTTTGACTGTGTCACGCCCACGCCGCAGGTGGATGCGCCCAAGGCGAGCACCTCAGCTGCCGCTGCAGCTGCTGCTGCCCAAGAAGCAGCTGCAGCCGCTCAAGAAGCCGCTGCAGCAGCTCGAGACGCAGCCACAGCAACAGCAGCAACAACAAAAGCCACAACAACAACAGCAACAGGCAGCGGCAAAAGTTTGGCCATCGAGAGGCAACATCATGCATCCACCAGCTCCTCATCCTCGTCGCTGTTCGTCAGCGAGAGCCAACGGCTGCAGCGAGCCGCCGCCGCCGTCTACAACTATCGATCCTCGATGATGATGTCGACGGAGCACGAGTATGCCTACATCAACGACATCTACAGCGAGGACGACGAGAAGGTCTACGAGGATCTCTGCTACGTCACATTCCAGTCCAAGGCCAAACCAGAGGTGTGCTGTCAACCTACTCTCGCTGTATAACCACAACAAAAGCAAAATCATGTGTTACACCACCTATCAATATATAGCTATAACACAATCACCATCATCATCACAGTCACAGTCACAGTCACCATCATCCGTCATCCGTCATCAGCCACCCACACACACACACACTCACTCACTCACACTCACACACACACACTACAATCCGAAGAACCGCTTCTGTTTAGCACGCGCCTTGACTCTACTCGTAGCTGTCCTCATTAGCAACTACTAACCTGGTCGCCCCGCACAGAAATCTCTCCCTCACACACCAACACACACACACACACACACACACACACATGTATTGCTATATATCCACCTGCAACCCATAGACATATGCCCATATACATATACATATACATATATATATGTACATGTATATGTCGGATTATGTCTATGCATTCTTTTCTGTTTGCTTTGTGTTTTTCCGTTGCGTTATCTCTTTCTTTGCCCGCTATAAGCCCCCCTCTCTCTCTCTCTCTCTCTCTCTCTCTCTCTATCTCTGTCTCGCTCGCTCTCTGCACAGACCTCGCGCACTATTCGTAGCCCCTCACATACCATAAAATGCAATTCCAATTGAACCAAACTGACAACGGAAACGGCAAACCATTTATTTATATATTTGTTTTTGTTGTTGTTCTGTTCTTCTTCTTCTTCATCACACTTTTTTTTTTTTTTTTGTGGGTTTTGTTTATAATCAAAACGGTTGTCAACCAAAGCGGGAAAATTCGCAAGTGTCATTAGTTTTGGACATATACCTATTATGTACATACATATATATCATATATCTGTATATATGTATGTATGTAAATGCTTGTATTTTAAAGCTCGAGCATACTCTATGCCAGACACGACCCATTGACTGACTCACGCCGCCCCGCCCGATACCGATATCGATCGACACTCTTTGGGTTTTTTATTCAACAGCTCTTCAGATAACAGCTATCCCAAATGGGTATCTCCGAATCAAACATGTTGTGTCGCAATGCGTATCTGAACCCCAAAAGCATTTTAGCTTATCTCAAATGCAATTAGGCTCCAAAAAAAAAAAAAAAAAAAGGGAAAAGATTTTGTGAAGCTCCATTTGCAAAGCCAAAGATCCAAAGGATTTAGAGATTGTAAAAACTGAGAATCTAACTTGATATATCTAATAAGGATCTTGATCTAATAAGATCTTGCAAGCTAAAGAACGTTTCAATTTACTTCAGCTTCCTTTCCGAAGATCTCATAATTTATATAATTTTTGGATACATACATCCGCAAGAAGTAAGTAGAAATACTTCTGAGGATAACCCAAAATCAATAAGATCTGTTGAGAGTCCAAGAGCCTAAGGTCAATCATTTGATTTGATTTGAATATTCCCAAATGAATGAATAATCAATTAAATATAGCATTCCCAAACCTTGATTCACGACATATAAGATAATGCTCTATTCTTTAACGAATTTGTAGATCTAACTAGCAGCAATACTGAAGACACACTTTCAATTTTATATATGTATATATATGTATATAAGCCAATTTAAAGATAGAACATTCACAAATCTTGATTCAACACAAAGAAGATAATGCTATATTGCTTAAATAATCTGCACATTAGTTTGAATCTTAAATCTAATGATAGTTCTTGAACTAGAGTTATTGAGACACACACAATTTGCCTTAAACCGCCTTCAATCAATCCTATATTTATCAACTATATAAGTCAATTTAAAGACCTTAGCGCTCTCCCAAACGATTAATGCAATATATAGTCGATATATAGCCATAGATGTCAACTATTTAAGCCAATTGTTTTTTGGAACATTGGAACATTGGAAGATATTGCTCTATATGATCTATACCCTAACGTTTCTGTAGATCAGTTCGAATCTTAGCCGTATAAATAGAATCATTAAAATCATATCTTAAGACACACAACTTTTGTCTTCTTCCGTCTTCAACCAATCCTATATTTACATAAATATCTACCCAGATTTGATATTTTATATATATAATCATTCTTTATAGTATTGCTCTGTGTGTATGTGTGTGTGTGGGTGTTTATCTCTAACAATAAGCGAGCATCTACATACAATAATCCTTGCCGATCTTTGGGAGATCAAAATTGAAACTTTCTAGAGCTTAGTCAAGTCTTTTCTTTGAATACAGTTCGTGCTTTCTCCATTTCTACTAGTCCTGTATGTGTGTGTGTGTGTGTGTGTCTGTGTGTGTGTGTTGGTGGGTATATGTATATAAATAAAGCAATATATGATTCTTATATAGAGGAACATGATGTTTGAAGCTTCTGCCACACTTCGCTCACTGCTGAGGCACTGCATCATCATTGGACTCGTCGTCGTCATCGTCGTCGTCGTCGTCGTCGTCGCAGCTGCTGTTGCAGTTGTAGTCGTCGACGCTATTGTAGATATTCGTGAGCAGCGGCGTCACATTCATGCCGGGCATCAGCTTCTCCAGCAGCTGTCCCGCCACCTTGCACAGGCCGCCCAGACGGCGCTCCATGCGATGCTCGTAGCGGCGACGATGTCTATAGTATTTCTCCTTTTCGCTCAGTACCTTTCGCTTCCTCTGGGCCGTCGCTGGCTTCTTCCCTGCTGATGCTGATCCTGACCAGCTGGCCGATTTGATTGCCGACGGCTGCTCGTCCAGCGGCATGGAGCCCGATGCTGTTTCGTAGCTGGTGGGCAACTGTTCGACAGTGTTCGGCTCGCAGATTTCGGACGCAGACTTAGCGGGCAAAGGGGAGGCCAACAGGGACTCCACTTCCGATAGATCGGATACCTCGACAGCAACCGGATCCGATGGTTGTGAGCTCTCCTGGGAATCTGAATCAGTAAATAGGTCCAAGGTCGAATCGTCACCCGTTGTCACACTAAAGTGAGAATAGCGCTGCTCATTGGAGCTGCCTTGGGGCAGCTGATCATCCTGCTGATCCTGTGGTGTCGGCCGATCCACAGGAGTGGCTCCCATTTGGTTTTTCTTCTGAAATGGCTTTGCACCTGTCAACGGACCGAAATTGTGGTCATTGACAACGCCACGAATGGCCAAATGGTTGGGCGACTGCGAATGGGAATGGGTGTCAGGGTGCGGCTGCTCCTGGACATTGGGCTCCTTGAGGGCGTATGAGTGCAGGTCGGTGGTCTTCTGGTTCATATACGCATGGATCTCGCCAAAGAACTCCCACTCCTCATTCAGCACATCGATGCACTGCTTGTTCAGCGGCGTCACCTGCATATTCGACTTCTGGATGCGATACCGTTGCACCATGTTGAGCCACTGTTTGCGCAGGGCGCGTTCGCTGTAATCGCCTATTTTGGCCATGTCCTTGAACTTTCTGCAATGCACGCATACAAAGTCGTCTATGAATGTGTATATACATATACATATATGTACATATATGATAAGTGCACTTACTTCCATGGCTCCGTCTGCTTGGACGAATACTTGGAGAACAAATCTTCGGCTTCGATGCGCTTGGTCACCAGCTGACGCTTCTCCTCCACAGACCCTAAGTATATTTTGGCATATAATTCTCAGTAATAACTAACATTGCCCATGCATTTGTCCTACTCACACTTCTTGGAGCCACTTTTTGCATATGTGTGGTGCTCCATTGTGCACTCTTGCAGCTGAAAATGCTCTCGACGCACGTGCACAGCCAAATAAATGAACCAAAAAAAAAAAAAGAAAGAAATGTAAATTTGATGCTCGGCTGCTGCTATTGAGCTGCTGAGCTATTGCTGTTGGCAGCCCTCCCTGGTTATGTTAGCTTAGCATTTTAATGTTATGCACATGGCAGCGCTGTTAGGCTGCTGTTGTGCTCAGTTGGTACTTGTACAATCGATATCGAAATCGATTAGTGGCGCCCCTTTTTGATTTAATTTTTATAAATTATTTGTTATCGTTATTCATTTTTGATTTTAATTTATTATTCTTTGATTTTGATTTCTGTTGTTATTTTGATTTAGTACCACCGACAACATTGCATGCAATGGAACCGCTTATGATCACATCAACACAAAAGAAGAGGAGGTCTATCAAGATTTGTGCGCACTGCACAGAACGAGTAGAGGCCAGGTAGTAATTTAATTTCAGTTTGTACATTATCTGCATAAATAGCCTGCAAAAAATATATATATTTAAGTAAATAAGTAAACAAGAATATTTAGCTCGGCTTAGTTGCATGACTTTATATGACAAGGCAGCGGATGCTGCCCAAACTCGGCTCAGATAAACTAAAGATTTTGCATCTCTTCCCTCCCGTTCGTGTAGACAACATCCGCAACCAGTTTTGAGCAGCGGGACTATGTCATACGCGAACTCATCGACACCGAATCCAACTATCTGGACGTGCTCAATGCACTCAAGACCAAATTCATGTTACCGCTGGAGCGGCATCTCAATCAAGATGAACTGCGTCTCATCTTTCCCCGCATACGGGTGAGCACTGAGGGGAGGACCGGAAGAGAGTTTTCATATATGCTTATATTTGTTGTCTTACTCTTTTAGGAACTGGCCGATATTCACACAAAGTTTCTGGAGAAGCTGCGCGAGTCACTCATGCCCAACGCTAAGCAAAAAATGGGCCAGGTGTTCCTTGAGTTCCGCGAGCCTTTCCTCATCTACGGCGAGTACTGCTCCTGTCTGCTGAATGCCATAGACTATCTAGCCGATATCTGCAAGAAGAACCAAATAATTGACCAGCTGGTGCAGAAGTGCGAGCGGGAATACAATGTGGGGAAGCTGCAGCTGCGGGACATCCTGTCGGTGCCCATGCAGCGCATACTCAAGTACCATCTGCTGCTGGACAAGCTGGTGAAGGAGACGTCGCCGCTGCACGAGGACTACCGATCGCTGGAGCGGGCCAAGGACGCCATGATTGATGTGTCGCAGTACATCAATGAGGTGAAGCGCGACTCGGACCATTTGGTCATCATCCAGAAGGTCAAGGACAGCATCTTCGATCTGAACTTGCCGCACAACGGCAACGATCTGCTGCAATATGGACGACTGCTGCTTGACGGCGATCTGCATATCAAGGCGCACGAGGATCAGAAGACCAAAATGCGTTACGCCTTTGTGTTCGACAAGATTCTGATACTGGTCAAGCCGCTGCATGTCAAGACCGGCGACATGCAGTACACATATCGGGACTCGCACAATCTGGCCGACTATCGGGTCGAGCAGAGCCACTCGCGTCGCACGCTCGGCCGGGACACGCGCTTCAAATACCAATTGCTGCTGGCCAAGAAGTCGGCGAAGACCGCCTTTACGCTCTACTTGAAGTCGGAGCACGAGCGGGACAAGTGGCGCAAGGCGCTCACCGAAGCCATGTGAGTACAGTGAAGCCTGCTCAATGGATTTACTTATACATCATTTGTTTTCGTTCACTGTTTGTGTAGGGAGAGCCTCGATCCGCCTGGCTGCCGGAATACGGATCATAAAATGGAGATTTACACGTTCGATGCGCCCACCACGTGCCGGCATTGCTCCACATTTCTGAAGGGTCGCATCCACCAGGGCTATCGCTGCAAGGTGTGCCACATCAGTGTGCACCGCGGCTGCATCTCGTCCACGGGGCGCTGCAAACAGAATCCGGTTAGCATACCGCCGCCCGTCTGCGATCGCCAGCTGTCCGAGTTCAACTGGTTTGTGGGCAACATGGATCGGGAGACGGCGGCCAATCGCTTAGAGAATCGACGCATTGGCACCTATCTGCTGCGTGTGCGTCCACAGGGCGCCTCCTCGCCGCACGAGACCATGTATGCGCTCAGCTTGAAGTGAGTGATGACTAAATGGGATTCAAATAGAAGTTCATGTAATACCTCTCTTTCTCTCTCTCTCTCTCCCTCTCTCTCTCTCTCTCTTTGTCTGTCTGTCTCTTTTTCTATGCAGGACCGACGACCATGTGATTAAGCATATGAAAATCAACCAGGAAAACGATGGCGAGTCCATGCTCTACTGCTTGTCATCGCGTCGCCATTTCAAGACCATCGTCGAGCTGGTTTCGTACTATGAGCGCAATGATTTGGGCGAAAACTTTGCCGGGTGCGTATGGCTCTTTTAAACGTGCACACACTCCATTCACGTACACAACTGATATGCATAGAAAGCACTAATACATACACAAAAGACAGTCCGCTTTATTCGACTCAAATCCAGAGCGAAACGAAACTATTACGAGCCGATCGCAAACGAGCTCGTTAAGGAGCCGATGCAACCGGTTGCTCTATCAGTTTTTTTTGCCAAAGTTTGAGTGGGAGAAACTCCTTGGCAGACATCGAGTAACGCTCAACAGTTATTGGAGAGCTATTTTATTGTTAACAAGGAAAAGGATGGGAGATGTAGAATATGTTGATAAAGGAAAAGGATGGGAGTTCTAGAATATGTATTTGTGTGTGTACATTATTGTACATAGAACATAGCATATATATATAAAATGTATGTGTGTACATACATATGTTATACATAGAACATAAGAGATAAGGAATATATGTATATTCATATAGCATATGTTATACATAGAGCATAGAAGATATAGATAATATATGTGTGTACATACATATGTAAAACATAGAGAATAGGAGATAAGGATTATGTACATATTCATATAACATATGTTATACATAGAGCATAGGAGATATGTAGTATGTACACATGTTATACATAGAACATAGTAAACGTAGGGGAAGAAAGAAAGTTAGGGCTATGCTAACAGTCAAGCTTGGGTCATGACTCGGTCTAGGCAGGTGACTTGTAAGTCCTCTAGTACTGAGCAAATCTTTGATCTACAGTGCCAAGAGAAAATCGAATCTCTTGAGGTATCTGTTAGCTTTTTATCTCTTATTAATATAGAGATCTCACTCTTTATGCCTGCCTCTCATACATATGTCAAGCAGATCCAAAGATCCCTCTGGAAGAGAGGGTTCTTGGTGTCTGTTGATTTCAAGTGCATCTAGACAGCCATTCCATGTTGGTAATTGGTATAGCCAGATAGCTATATGCGACTATATTGGCTGAGTCTGTCGTCAGATAGTTTTTTTTTTTTTTTTTTTTTTTTTTTGACAAAGTCAATTTATATTAACAACAGAATCCGGTTATAACAACGAGCAAGAGACCGTCGTTATAACCGGAAGACGCTATAGACATACAAGTTTCTCTGCATTAACCGTTCGGATGCTATAAGCGGAGTCGTTATACCCGAATTTCAATGTACTTCCCATCAATCCATCAAATTTCACTGATTTGTGTGTTTTGTCCACAGGCTCAACCAGTCGCTGCAGTGGCCCTATCGTGAGGTCTATGCCACGGCGCTGTACGACTTCGATCCGAAGCCCGGCAGCAATCAGCTGCAGCTGCGAACCGATTGCCAGGTGCTGGTAATTGGCAAGGATGGCGACAGCAAAGGCTGGTGGCGTGGCAAAATCGGTGATACGGTGAGTAGAGTGGAGTATAGATTCATGTTTATATATATATGTATACCATTCAATTGATATGCAGGTGGGCTACTTTCCCAAGGAGTACGTGCAGGAGCATCCAGTGACTAGCGACGAGCTTTGATATTACAACTCGGAGGTTTACTTTGCACCCAAAGCGAGCACACCAACGGCGGCCATTTCTGAAACACCTGTAGCGACAAATATGGAGGCGATTAACAGTTACAACAGCAGTTAAAGCAACAACAACAACACGAACATCATGATGATGCTGATGATGATGATACATTTGTTGCACTGCACTTAGTTCAAATATACAAAAAGAAAACAAAAATCGATTATTTTTAAAGGAAATTTGGAAAATTATTTGCATTGCGTCGCTCGAAACTTTAGTGCCAACAAAACAGAACAGATTCCATGATTACGTGGAAATGTTCTTAAAAATTACACAAAAAAAAAAAACGTTTATTTTTAACTAATTGTATGTTGCAATAAATAATATATATATATGTACAATTATATATAGTGTATAAGCATGTGTGAATGGCAACTTAGTTTATTTACATAAATTTAAATTTATATATATATATTTTTTTTTTTTTCGAATTGTATATTTTCCCTTTACGTTTTTATTGTGTATTGCGCTGCACTTGATGATTAAGAAAAAGAAAAACAAAAACAATATTATTTGAAAGGAACATTAAATAAATGCGCTGTGCGGCATTTCATACAAGAAGCTTTAAACTTGATATATATATATACATATATACACAAAGCAAACGAAAAACTGAATAACGTAGATACATATATATACTTGAATGTTAACATTAATATATATATATATATATATATATATATATATATATATGTATGTATGTCAACAATACGAACTTGATGTATAATCCGAAACGCAAATGTTAACAAGTCGAACGAAATGCGGCCACAAAAAATTGTGTGCGACTGCAACAACAACAAAAGCTTTAGAAAATAACAAATTATGCCTACTTATGTATACACACATCCATTCACGAATATATATATGATATATATATGCTGAGGAAATTAACATATTGTAACTAGAGCCAACGAATATTGCAGACTTAACGAAATATTGTAACGTTTTTATTATATAAAAAAAAAATCGCGAAGAGCCAAGGCAATGAGCATAATTATACTGTATACATATAGATCTATATATGTATAGAACTCCCTCTCTATATATGTATATAGACGGTAATATTTTACACTCTTTTCAAATTTCGCTTTCATTTCCTTGAACTGCTTAAGGCGCATGCAAAATAGTTGGTTTCACACTTGACCTAAGAATATATGTGTTGTCAAATGTATGTATATATGTGTGGTTTCATATGTGTATATGTGCAAATGCATTGCCTAATAGCTTTAACTTAAACAATTCCAAACTTTGCATTTAAATGCGCTTGCAACAATATCTCTTTCGCACTCTGACTCTCTCGCTCTTTCGCTACATAATTGTATAACATGCATATATGTTTGTATGTGAATTGTACTGAATTCATTGTTTGGCAGCTGAAATAAATTAACTGCAAAAACAAATCACAAAAATCTATATATATATATATGAAATTGTAACAAATATTAAAACAATGCCTCAAAAACAATATATGTATATATATGTATACATATATATCTCTATAGATACTATGTATATCTGCATATGGCCCATTGTATTGGGCTGTTTAAGTAAAGTTTTTAATTCAATTTTATCGCCTCCAGTTTCAATGCCAATGTAACAAATGTATTAAATGTAAATGACTTTATATATCATAATTACTAAGCCCACACACACACACAGACACTCTCACACACGCACAAGCGCGCACACACACAAACGCTCTAATAAAGGACTTTGAATGTTTTGTTGTTTAATTGGAATCAATTGTTTTCATTTATTGAATTTTACTCCATAAGAAGTTATTAATTTATTGAGAGACTATGAATTATTAGCCACAGTCTCATCTCTCTTCCTCTCGCGATTAGTCCCACTGTTCCTTATTTTCTGCCTCCGAGAGTTACTCTTCCACTGGCTCTCCCTCTTCTTAGCTTTCTTTCTCTTTCTTCGCTCTTTTTCTCTCTTATCTTTCTCTCTCTCTCTCTCTCTCTTTCTCTCTCTCTCTTTTTCTTTATCTACCTTTTTCTTTTCCCCTTTCCCATTTCTCGTAGAGTAATTGTGTCGCTTTCTTGCTTACCCCATATTATTATCTTCCTGTGGGTCTCTCTTCCTCTCTCTTTTTTCTCTACCTCGTCGATCCTCTGTTCAAATACATATGTATGTACATATTTTATATATAATTTGAGCTTTCTTTACGATTCCCAAATATTCTTGAGTTCTGGATTAAAATTACAAAAAAAAAAAACTGTCGAAAATTATAATATAAATAATAAATATATTTATACTTACAAAACTAACGTATTTATTAATGTACGTACTTATTTAAGTTTGCAATTAATAATAACGAATTTCTTAAGGCACTTCCATAACAGTTTTATTTTCGAGCCCACAGCGCGTGCGCAGCAAGCTTTAAAGCTTTGCCAAACGACTCGGAATTAAATACTCGCTGCGACTTCGATTTAAATATTCGCTGCAATGGTTCGTGTATCGGCTAAGCCGAGCAATGCACCAGCTGATGGCGGCCCACCTGTTGTTGGCTCAGCCAGCACTTGCTAAAAGAAAATCAAGTCTGAAGAGCGGCGAATGGCGAACAGCGAACGGTGAACGGCAAACGGTGAACGGAGAGCGACGTGCGGCGAGCGGGCGAACTAGCGATGAGCGATGAGCAATGAGAGTCGGCAAAGCGTTTAGAAAGTTCGTAGCTGCAGCCAACTCAGTTAAGGGGTGCGGGGCGCGGGCTGTGGACACTGAGTATCGGGCTGAGCAGCGGCCGACTGGAACAGTTGGTGTTTAGTAAGCGGCGAAGAGTCAACAAGTTCGGTTCGCAGCATTCGAGAGCAAAATCCGCGCTCCGCTAATCGCTTATCGCGGTTATTTTTGCCGTTTTCGTTTTTTTTTTTTTTTTTTAGCTGTTTGCATTATTTGCCAACAGCCGTCGTGTGTGATTTTTTGTTGGTGTTTCATTTTCCTTTTCTGTTTTTTGTTGTTTTATTTTTTATTTTTTTGTATTTTGTTTAACAACTGAAGACGGGAAACTGCAACTGCCAAATGTAAATGAAACGCAAGGCTGTGGCCCAACCGTAACTAAAGCGCGGCCCAAATGTGTCTGAAACTGAAACTGAAGCAGAAATTAAATCTGAATCTGAATCTGTATCTGTATCTGCATCTGATGCGCCGCACTTGCCAAACGGTAGATCGCAGCAAGTGTATCCTGTGTAGGGTATTTGCCCTGACATAAAACATAATAATTGTCGTGCACTGTTGCGGCTGAGTGCTTGCAAAAAAGAATAAAAATAAAAATTAAAAAAAAATTACTAGAAGAAAAACAAAACCAAACAACTCGAGCGCTCTATTCTCTCTCTTTGCGTCCCTCTCTCTCGCGCACTCCGCGTTTTGTTGTTGTTTTTGTGTTTTGTACATTTTGGCGCTCATTTTCGTGCGTTACGCTTAACTGCAGCTTGCGGGTGTATGTGTGCGTGCGCTGCTCTGTGTCCGCGCGTGTGCATGTGTGTGAGTGCGAGTGTGTCCAGCTTTGCTTACAAAATGCTTAGATGAAAGCCAAAAGCCGCCGTCGACGCCGCCGCCGCAGCGCAAAGGAAAACGAAAACTTTTAGCAAAAAAACAAAAACAAAACGAGAAATTGTTAACGAAATTGAAAGTAAACGCGGCACACGAAGATCGCAATATATATATATATATATATATATATACATCTGCAATATATACACATATATATAGTGCACATACCTACATATACCTGTTACCAATAACTGACTGCAAACTGGGCGCCAGTGTGCTCCCCATATGTCCGCACAAAATATGTCACAATTCCGAGATAATTCATGGGTGAGTTGAGCTCTAAATCACTGTTGATTGCCGCATGCTAAAACACGATCAATCCAAGCACACCGACTAACTTGGCTACTCTAAATACACTAATGCTAACAACAATTAATCCACGTCCCAAAAGCCACAACAACAAGAACAACAACAACAACGATGACGACAACTTTTGACACCAACATTTGGCTTGCACAATTCGCTGTGCGATGGACGACATCGTTAGCTGTCAACCCCTCTCCAGTCCCCCTTTTCATAAAATCGCCCCCTACCCCCTACCCACCGTGGCTTGTGTCACAGCTGCGCAACTTAATTAGCACAAATCGTTAATTAACCTGTCTTGGCCCGATTGGCCAATTGGCCAATTGGCCCCACGCATCTGCAGCTGACCCGCTTAGCGGTTCGACGCGCTCAGCCAGGCCCCAATCGAACCCGAACTATAGATACAGATGCTCTGCACTCTCTATCTGTCTCGCGATCTACAATGATTTATGTTTGCTTCTTGTTTAGGGCCTATTTTTGTTTGGCTTTTTTGCCATACGAAATTTTGCCGTTAAGTGCTGCACAGTGGTGCAAAAGTGAAAGAACTTTTATGTTTAAGAATTATTTAACTGTAGCAGCTGTGTTCCATTGTTATATTCCATGATACTGAAAGAGATTCATACTAGCCTTTGTATAATGATTGTATACCCTATGTATACCCTTTGTGTATTATGTGTATTATGCTTCTCTTGTGGCATTTTGTATTCATATTTTGTATTCATATTTTAATACAAATAGTTTCATTCATTTTTACTAATTTTTTATATTGAGTACAAAATGTTGAATTAAATTTGGTATTAAATCTAGTATATATTTGAATTACTATTTTCAATTTGTGTATCAAATGTAGATTTTTATTGTATGTATTAAGCCAAATTTAGGAATCAAAGCAAATATATTTTATTATAATTGTTTATTATTATAATTATATTATTTTTTTTACAACCTTTTTAATTCTAGTCTAGTCTTTTGAATGAAAAATGTATGAATAGATGAAAATTGCTGCATCAACTGATATCTGTATATACTCTATATCAGTGGCTATAGTCTTGCTAGATAATTATATTGAGAATATATAATATATATATATATAGAATATATAATATATATATATATATATATATATATATATATATATATATATATATATATATATATATTTTTTTTTTTTTTTATTTTTTATTTTTATTTTTTTTTTTTTTTTTTTTATTGCATATTCAATATATTATTGACATAAAACTCACCACTTTATCAGATACATGAAAGTATAAGTTTATAAAGCTCATAACTCTATAAAAAATAGCAAAATAAACAAAATTATATTTATATATTTCGCATTATACAATAATATTTACCTCTATCGGAAAAAAAATATTCAACAAAAATATATTTACATACATATTTATATAATCCCTATGAAAACATTTTCAAAGTCATTAGGGTATTTTCACTTCGTTCATGCTCTGTCATACTTCAAATCGCATAAAAAATGATTTATTAATTCAAACAAAATATAAAACAGAAATTTTGAATGCATTCACTCATTCAACTTTGTTTAAGTCAGATACAACGAATTTAGTTTATCAACATAATTTAAGTGCTAATCGCACATTAAATAAAAACAAATAACAAATGCTTAAATAAATTCAGTTGCAAAGGTCATTAAATTAAATCAATTATATAATACATGAAGTTAAGAGTTTAAGATGGAACATATTCACCAGCAAAAGTGGGAAATAAGTGAAATATGTTTTGTCTGTGTTTTTTTAATGAGATACTATGTATAAATATATAATGGAAAACAAGTACAGTATAAATACCCAAAATCTGAATCTATTAAGCATAATACTGGAGATTGTCGAACAAACAGAAATTGTGAAATTAATGTAAAAAGTTCAAGCCAATAAAGATCTAAGAAAGTAAATAAAAAAATTCAAGCCTGATTAGATAAACGATTTATCTATATAAATGTTTATACATATATATGTTAGAAAATGCTTTCATAAAATATTTTCTGCTGCAATTTCACTAGAGTTCAGGTCAGCAAAAATCGTAAAAAAAAATAAAATAAAATAAAAAACAAGAGAATGTTGCATGTCTCTGTGGCATCTGTGGCATCTATCGCATTTAATGTCTTTATAAGAAATCGGCGCGATACGATCTAGTTTATGTATGCCTCACGCGTATGCTGCATGCCCCCTACCCCCTTTCTCTCTCTACATCTCTCTCCATCTCTATCTCTCTCTCTCTCTCTCTCTCTCTCTCTCTTTCGTCATTATCGTAACGTTCTTTGATCACGTACTTTTTGCTGTTTGTTGTCAAAGTGAAAACGAGCATATTGGATTCGTTCCATGTGCGTGCTTCGTTTTTATGCCATGAACACATTGTAAATGCTTATATGGGGTATATTGGTACGGTACAAAATAAGTGCCACGGGAGGCGTGGCAGACATACATAAAGCATATACATATATTCCTATGGAGAATGACAAGCTGATTCGATTTGTCCTTTCGGTATATCTACGAATCTCAATATATATATTCCCACTGTTGTTCGATAACTTCTAAATAGTTCATTGTTATACTTGTATCCCTACTATCCACAGTAATATAATAAAAGTAGTATAAGCAAAGTTTTGCTGCGTGGCTTTATGAGATGAATACACGGATCTGGGATAGTTGGCAGTTCCTGACTATTAGACATAGTCTAGATTCCTACAATGTATTTCAAATAGTAGTGTCTTATCCTTTCGCATAAATACACAGC